TATTCTCAGGTCTTATCATCATCATCATCAATATTTATCTGGGCGCCTGGGGCCGTTATTGGCCTTTTTCCCATTCGTCTTGAATTGTGATCTTTAGGGTGGTTCTTTCTGGTAATTGGAATGCAATTGAAGTAAAAGGAATTTAAATATTTTGAATTTTAGATAAAATTACGTCACTACAAAAGTAAGCTGCCATCGGCCTGAGGTTTACGTCTTCTCTTAAGTTTTCGAAAGTAAAAATTTCGTTGAATCCTGCGGTGTCACAATNTGTGTAGGGATTAGGGAACTGCCCTGGCATCAGAAAGGTTCTGGGTTTGACTCCCGGGCAAGGCAAGGATGTTCCTTCCTTCTCTGTACTATCTGTCCTTACTGTGGGAGCAGCGTTGGCCCCAGGCGCCTCCATCAGGGGGGAAAGTGGGCGCACGATGTGCCCACTTAAAGCTTGGGGGGGGGGGAATTTTACACAAAATAAATAGTTTGGGGGGGAATTTAGACGAGAGAATTTTTTTAAGTACATAAATAAACAAGCTAACATGGAAGGGGCAAGTTAGCAATTTTTTTGGGGGGGATGAATGCGCCCAAGAGCTTGGGGAGATGGGGGCCACTGGTTGGCCCACCTAAAATGGTGCCCCTGAAAGAGTGGCCAACAAATCTGACCTTCAGATGCCCTTATGACGTAGGTCATTCCCCAGGTGGGCAGTGGAAAAAAATGTATATGTTATGGGTGATATTCTCGCATTTTGTTGGGGGGGGGGGCGCACATATTATTTCTTTCGCTTTTTGTAAATAATCATCACAATAAAAATCATGAAATCCGTAGTAGTAATTGCCGAAAAAAAAATCGACGACGAAATCACCACGCGAATCGAAATCCTCAAATGAGCGTTTCATTTCGAGATTAGGTTGTTGTAATAAGTAATAAATAATATCGTATAAAAAAATATCAGATTTAAAAACTATGGAGAAATCAGTAGCAATAACTGCCAAAATTCGATAGAATCATTGCCTTAAAAAGTAAAATACTCAAATGCACGATTCGAATTTTCCATATTGTTTGAAATATATCGGGATGTTTAAAAATCGCGTGAAAATCAATATCAACAACTGCCGAAAATACAATCTAAACATGACGTCGATTTACGATACAATCGGCGCAAATTGAGCGCGCCGAAAAGTGGTTATCTAAATACATGATTCAAATATTAGTACGTTGATTAGGCAATTTTACTAAGACGATGCAAAGTTCTGTAGAAAAGAAAATCTTTCTGCATGAATTTTGTAACGTTCTGCGACTGATTCGCCTTGTCGCTGCGACTAAGTCGCCACTGGGGTTAGTAAATTTTTGTTTCTTGAAATTTTCATTAAAATCATCGTGTATTTAGTGGTATAAGAAAGAAAGATGCAATTTCATTTCGGGAGACGGAAAGCACATTTTACCACAGTATCATCAATGGGTATTTATTTTAGCATTGATGCCAAAGCGGAAATCCTAACACTGCGCAATGTTTAAAGTGGTAGTAAAATTACAATTAAAATAGTCTGAATAATCCACAACATTTATGAACTTAATAGTCCGATTCTCAGGTCTTATACGTTTGTTTAAAATGTTTATACATAGCAGAGATGCCAACTGCTCCGGACAAAGCAAGATAATTTAACCGGCTAACGCCCAGCGTCTTATATTTAGGACAGTTCCTTTTTTCAAAGACATTCATTGTGGTGGGAAACTTTTTTCAGAATTTTCATTTATCTGGGTGAATTAAAAGATTCTCAGATACCACAATGATTTAGTTATTTCTGACTAGATCTAGAATTAAAAGGAGCAAGTACTTTTTGATCTATCAGAGACTTTTTGAATGCTCTAACAGTAGAAAAACCAATTAATTTCGATAATATATTATACCACCTTTTCCATAAAACTACTTCTTGTATCATTTCAATATATAAAGTCGGGACAAAACGGGTTAAATAACAGTAACTAACTACAACTGAAATTTACAAATTTTTGACTAATTTTGTTTACTTTTTAAAGGGCATCGCATAATTTAATAATAATTACAGGGATGCCCACTGCTCCGCTTTCTGGAATAGTTTTAATAAAGTGGTAGCAAATTATATAGTAAAATTCGTTACAGAAGGATAGTTACGCCGAATTTTTCATAGAGTAACCAGTAGATGATACTTATAATTTTTGATATTTAGTGGTGTGAAAATTACGTAAAATGAAAAATACTAAACTAAAAGTAACTTAAATTTCGCTACCACTAGAAAATACTATTTTGCAAAGCGGAGCAAGTTCGCATCTCTGTGATTAAGTAGCGAATTATATAAGCCTTTGAATTATTTAGAAACAGTGGTAGCTAAAAACCTTATAAATTGAATTTATAAAACCAGGAATCACAATTACTACCACTCGAAAATATTTATTCGCTGTCCGGAGCAAGTTGGCATCTCTGACATAGTGGTGATCAAAAAAAAGAGTACATCAAACATTGTAAACTATTCATATTTAAAGCAAAACAAATTGTCGTTTCTGTGTTGATATTCGAAACATTCCTGAATATATGTTAGAACTTATAATAAATATTGGTAGGCATGATTTTTATTCCTATTTTATTTTTCTCATAAACAAGATATATTTTTATTCCTAAACAACCTATAGAAAGGTTTAATTAACAGCTTTTTCTTCATTACGGGGCTAAAACAGTCCTAAGTTTATACAATAAGTTTGCGCCAAGTTAGACATAATTTCAAATTTTCCGTTACATTTTCTACTAAAATACTGTTTTCCTAAGAATTGTACAGCATTGTTCATATTATTTTGTTATTTGAACTATCTTTTTTCTACGAGAGAAAAAACTATAATAATCAAAATCCTTAAGCTACCACTCTTTACGTTTTTGAAATAACGAACCGTCCATAAAAAGAATTTTAAGTAAATATTTGGAAAAATCGAAAACTATAGTAAAATGTTATACTTGAATTATAGGAAAATTCTATTCGCGAGCCATTATACAAACACGCCAAAAATCCTTTTCTAATATCTTTTTCCAAAAAAACTGGAACTACAATAATTTAACGGCGCTGCTATACTGATGTGCTTATCCCTGTAGAAAAGTTGTCCTTGCCAATAGGATAAATTTCCTGAAATATTTTACTTTACATGATTTTGTTAATGAGGTAAATTACTAATATTGTTTTTTCGTTAACTATTTTAAGATTTTTTTATTTAAAGTGGTAATAAAATTGATTTATTATTTGGATTTTGTATTTTAAAATTTGATGATAAAATCACCACTACATATAAATAAAACAAATTGAACATGTAAATATAAATGCATGATAATCGTTGTACTGTCCGTAAATATTTAAAAAAGAAAATAATAGAAATATATTTCGTCGTACAATTGTAGTTTGTCACATCCTTAACTTGTAAGAAAATAAATCTCAGACGAATTAATAGTAGCTGAATATGTTTAGTGCATACCTTTCCCGAAATGTTTTGTGAGATGAGTGAAAAGTGAAATGATAATTAAAAAAAGAAACAGTTGAAAGTAAAAGAATTCTTATACTTTGCCAGCTCTAAGTACACCAATTTACAATTATCAAGCATCGATATACTATTTAATCCATATATAATGGTGATTAAAATCACTCAAAATTAAATTCATATATCCAAGAAGGAAACAGAAAAGCAAACGCTATGATGTGACCTACGTAATATCGAATTGACAACTAACGTTTTATGCTAGATCGAAATTACTGAATATAGATTTCAGTTAAACTGCCGATGACATTCCAACAATTTCAAAGATTTATGGAAAGTTGGATTCTGCTAACAAACTCCCTTTGTTCTAAAATGAATGTAACTTGACGACCTTGAAAGGTAACTTTTCGTGTTTTGATTTCAATTGACCTGACGAAGTGAAGCAAGGAAATAAAAACCAATTACAGGATTAGTATGGCAGACAACAGCATTTATTTTATTTTATGGTGTACGGCAATTAGTCTTGATACTCACCTTTCTTGAACTTAATTTACAATAGTAAATGGGGAAAACCTCGACTTTAAAAAATACTAATACTTTTCCCAACAGAATATGTGTTGTGTGTTGAGCTTGATTTAATCGACAATTGTAAATGATTTTAATAAATCTCATGCGTAAAGGACATAAATAATTGTTACATAAAAGAGAGTATTTTTTTTTCGTATTCATTCGTTTTACATTTTCACTGTCAGGTATTTTCTACTTTTGAAATTTTAACAAACCCATGTCTAGCGTTAATTTAGACGATAAAAGTTCCTTTCGTCTAAAAAACTAAAAAGTGGTTACATACTTGTTTCAGTTTTAAGCATTAAGTTTGAAAAAAAAGACGGCTCTTTCTATTATAATATATTTTGAACAAAAAAAAATTTATATTTTGGGGAAATTTCCGTATCGTGATCTGTGACAGAATAATCGCCAAGTCTTGGCAACTTCCAGGTAGCGGCCCACGAAAAACTAAAAAACAAAATCACAGAAAGGGACCAACTCGAAAGGTATAACTCGTAGCCAACTCCGGTTAACCGGGTAAACATTTACATGTTTGTTTGTTTTTTTTTTTAAATTTGATTTTAAAAAAAGTTTAAAATCTATTTGTCACCCTGGCGATTATAGTTGGCGTGACAGATCACGATACGGAAATAACTTCGATATTATAATTTCGATAGGCTGATTGTCTATTCTAATCTAAAGTAATTTAGAGATGCCAATTTGCTCCGCTTTGTGGGGGGATATATTTGAAAGTTGATGTTTAAGTACCTATTTTGGCTTAGTAAATTTTATTAAAAATAATTTTGTCCACTGCTGAAAAATAAAGTTAGCTCGCAAATTGAATGACTAAATAAAACCCTAAAATTGTTTTTTAGAAAACTCTAATAATAATGATACAACGCTACTTGAGAAATATTTTATTAGAATCAAAAAACATAAATTCATTTTAAAATCTTAGACTAGACTATGAATAAAAACTGGTTAAGACAAAACACAAAATACTTTTCAAACGCACTAATTTTTCTACATAAATCATAAACTACATAAATCTCCATTTGTAGATTTACAAATTTGTAATCAAAAAATGGTGAAATGATATGTTGTAAACAAGAGGACAGGGGCCAGCCTGCCCTAAGATTTGGTTTTAAACTCTAATTCATCATCTTCGTTTTCGCAATCCCAGCAATTGGCTCAGAGTCTTTGCATTGAATATTCCATTTCTGAAAATAAATGTAAACAAAAAATTATTTATCAATATCTTACAGAGTAATACAGTATTGAACGAAGAGCTTTGAAAACAGAAATATGCTCATTAAACTTGGTTGTTTTCTAACATTAGACATAAAAACTATTTAATGACTTAACTTAATGACTTAAACATAAAAACTATTTAAATGAATTGCTTACTGATAAACTTTACTGAAAAACGAAATGTATTTCTATAACCTGAATTGTTCAGCTTAATTGTCTTGTTTTATTTAATTTCCAATGTAATAAAACATTTGTTTAAACATGTTTTATCACCTATAGTTTCAATAGCTTTATGATTTTGTGGTTCACTGTCTAATGATACTAGATAGTGAACCAAACTGTCTAGTGATACTAGACATCTCATTTCGGAGGAACAGGTCCAATTCAACTAGACAGATTTCATTGTCAAGATCATTATGATTCATCTTCCAATTTTTTAGGTGGCAACATTGTGAATTAAAATGTAATTTACACTTTTTCATTGTATTTCTTTTATTTACACTCTAATAAAATTAATGAATTGGAAAGGGTTTAAAATCTGTTCAAGGTTTGGTAAAAACTTTACAATACTAGTACATTTCTTTCTTTTTTAGGAAAAGTTTAACTGTGTAAGATTTTAAGTAAGTATTTTAAACTATATAATGTATTAAGAAGACTTTGAAGATAGTTTTATGTAAGTTCTTAATGTACTGTTTTCTTTCTTCTGTTTTTTCCCTATTTTTGATGATATTTTTGAAATTAGTTCTCTTGTTCAATCTGACAAAGCATTAAAAGAATTCTCACTAAGAGAATAAATTCTAATACATTTACAACATTGTACCATACAAAAGACTCTATTTATTCGTAAAATCTCGTTAAATATGGGATCGTAATGAATGGGTTTTACTGTTTTGAATCTATAAAATCAATATTTCATGGAAATTCTCGAAAAGCTTCAAAAAGCTTTGGCGTTCTATAACGTATACTTTAAGCAAAATTATGCTTTATTTATACTTTAAATATACTTTGTCAAGCATTTGCATTTCACGGTATCCTGAGCAGCAAACTACTATGATATGAAACGGCAATCGTAAGAGATAAACATTGTCATTGACAAATAGGAAGAAAGGAATAAGCAAATAAACATTGTCACAAACAAATAGGAAGAAAGTCTTGAACAAATTAAAATTATTATAAGCAAATAATACAAAGTCATAAACAAATTAACATTGTCGTAAACAAATAGAAATAGCATAAAAAGTTAACATTGTCAATAAACAAATAGGAAAAAAGTCATGAACAAATTGGCATTTTCTAAAGCACATAGGAAGAAAGCTATTAACAAATTAACATTTTCTAGCTGCTATTATCCTAAAAAATAACTGTTTCAAAGTAAAAGAAATGAAATTAATATCAGATGGAACTGCACAACATTTTAAGCGAAAGACCGTAAAGAAATATATGCCCAAACAAATACAATTGTAAGTAACCGAAATCTTTGAAATAACTTGGAAAAACTTGACGATGCAATTTGTGAAAGACAGAGTAGAAACTAAGAGCATGTGACATACTAGTGTATGCATTTTGAATGCAATGTGTCAACTCAATTTGTAAAAGATAAAAAATAAAACATATTTTTAAAATGTTTAAAAATAAGCAATTACCTATAAGAGATCAACTGTATTTAGAACAGACCATGCCCATATTCGATCGAAAGAAGAAGCCATTAAGTAATGGAGCTATTGGTGATGCATATTGGTTTCCCGTATATTTGCAAATCCTGATCAGCCAGTAAAAAAAAATATATAAAATGAAAAACTCATTTCAGAAAGTTTAAGACTATACATTGAAAAAAAAATTTCCTTAAATATATAATTTTTGTTTAACTATTTTACTTCATTTCGCAACTCGTTTATCGCTGCTAATGGTAAATCTATGGAAGGGGAAGCTAAATTGTGGTCCCTAAACCTTAGAAAGTTAAATTTTATTGATATAGCTGCTAACATAAAAAATAAATGCGATTTCATATTTTATGAGGTGTCATTTTGTATAAGTATAACGCTAGATCAATCTGACAAGATTTCAAAATTGAAAAACAAAGTGTATATGAATATGCGACATCGAACAAGTCATAGAGTATAATATGACAAAATTCCTTTTACCTATTTTTTAAATCCATTTCCGTTCATAAAAACTAAAACAAAACTTAGTATCAAATTAAAACAAAGCAGTCCATCAACGTAATTATCATTTACATAAAAACCTACCTTACTATAATACTATATTTAAAAAAATATTTTTCATGTAGAGTTAAAAAAAAAATGCAACATAAATTTCTCTTTTAGACCAAAGAATATCAGTTTTAAGTATTGCATAAGTTTAATATTTTTCTTTCACACACTTTCTGTTGCTTATTCTATTATAAATGTTTAATATTGTATGGTTTGTATATATTTTTAACACTTCTCTTTCGCTTTCTTTTAAATTTTTTGTTGTTTCCCAAAATTTCGTTGTTCAAAAACATTTTTGTTGTAACTACAAAAAAAATTTCAAAAAAATCATCATTTATATATTACAATCAAAACTTTACTTGCTACTAAATTTTCAAGAAACTTTCAATATTTTGAAAAATCTGAAATATTAAATTTCCCAATTAACTATATAACTAACTATATTTTGTAATAGCTATGTAACCCAACTAGCTATATTTTATATGGAATAGTTTATATATATTTTTTATTGTTTGCATTATTTATTAATTTTTTTGACATTTCTTCCTTTTTCTGGTTCAACTTCTAATTTTGAAAGTTATGAATCTGCTTCAAAATAAGACAAATAAACCAATTTAAGAATTTCTTTCAATATCAAAGCAATGACATCAGACCTAATTTTAAAAAGAATGTCAAAAATATTATTAAATATTACTAAATTTTTAGAAATTTGCAATATTGGAAAAAAATGTCAGCATTATAAAATTTTCCAACAAAATATTCATATTTTATTTCACATTTATTGTTTATATATTCATAATATTTTTTTCACTCTCTTTTATTTATTTATTTTTTATTTTGATACATCTCCATTTTTTAGATTCGACCTCTGTTTTCAAGAATTATGAGTCTGCATCAAAATGAATCGATTCAAGAACTTCTTTCAATATCAAACCATTGATTTTTCTTCAGGCTTACTACAGAAAAATGTCTAAGAATTCATCATTTATGTATCATAATCAAAACTTTACTTAATATTTGCTACTAAATTTTTAAGAAACTTTCAAAATTTTAAAAAATCTAAATTATAAAATTTCCCACCTAACTATAGACTATTAATATTTTATATGGAACAGTTTATATTTTTTTTTATTGCGTCGTCCTCATTCTTTCTAAAAAGTTTTGCCTTTTCTTCCTTTTTCAAATTCTATTTTTGAAAATTATGAGTCTGCTTCAAAATAGGACAAACAAACCGGTTTAAGAACTTCTTTCAATATCAAAGCAATGACATCAGACTTAATACAAAAAGAAACGTCTAAAAACTAAACATTTTATGCATTGTTATCAAAACTTTCCTTATTAGATATTACAATTTCTTTTAGAAATCTGCAATATTTAAAAAAATTTCTGCATTATTTAAAAAAAAAATCTGCAATATAAAATTTTCCTATAAATTCTTAATTTTTTACAATTTAAGGTTTTTATATTTATAATATTTCTTCCTCTCTCCCTATTTTTTAATTTTTTTTCATTTTTTTATTTTGATACAACTCAATTTTTTAGATTCGACTTCAGTTTTCAAAAATTATGAGGTTAAATCAAAATAAGACAAATGAATCGATTCAAGAACTTCGTTCAATGTCAAAGCATTGATATTTCCTCAGACTTACTACAAAAAAAATGTCTAAAAATTCATCATTTATGTATTATAATCAAATCTTTACTTACTACTAAATTTTTAAGAAACGTTCAATATTTTAAAAAATCTAAACTATAAAATTTCCCACTTAACTATAGACTACTAATATTTTATATGGAACAGTTTACATATTTTTTTATTGTGTCGTTCTCATTCTTTTTAAAAAATTTTGACTTTTCTTCCTTTTTGAAATTCTATTTTTGAAAATTATGAGTCTGCTTCAAAATAAGACAAACTAACTGGTTTAAGAACTTCTTTCAATATCAAAGCATCATACTTAATACAAAAAGAAATGTCTAAAAACTAAACATTTTATGCATTGTTATCAAAACTTTTCTTATTAGATATTACAATTTTCTTTAGAAATCTGCAATATTTAAAAAAATTTCTGCATTATTTAAAAAAAGAATTCTGCAATTTAAATATTCCAATAAATTCTTAATTTTTAACTATTTATGGTTTTTATATTTATAATACTTCTTCCTCTCTCCCTATTTTTTAATTCCTTTTTTTAATTTTTTTATATTTTGATACAACTAAATTTTTTAGATTCGACCTCAGTTTTCCAAAATTATGTATTGCAATTTTTTTTTGGAAATCTGCAATATTTAAAAAAAAATTTCTGCATTATTTAAAAAAAAATCTGCAATATAAAATTTTCCAATAAATTCTCAATTTTTTACAATTTAAGGTCTTTATATTTATAATATTTCTTCCTCTCTCTCTATTTTTTAATTCCCTTTTTTGATCTTTTTATTTTGATACAACTCAATTTTTTAGATTCGACCTCAGTTTTCAAAAATTATGTATTGCAATTTTTTTTAGAAATCTGCAATATTTAAAAAAAAATGTCTGCATTATTTAAAAAAAAATCTGCTATATAAAATATTCCAAGAAATTCTTAATTTCTTACAATTTATGGTTTTTATATTTTTAATATTTCTTCCTCTCTCCCTATTTTTATTTCTTTTTTTTTAATTTTGATGCTTCTCCATTTTTCAGATTCGACCTGAGTTTTCAAAAATTATGAGGTTACATCAAAATAAGACAAATGAATCGATTCAAGAACTTCTTTCAATAT